ACGAATGTCAGTTTTTCCATCTTTACACTAACTGAGTTAAGATCAAGTTAACTGGACACCGTTGGTCACTTGGTAACTTTGTTTTTACTAAATAGAGTGCTAAATTGAAAATGTATGTTCAATAATAATGATAATAATAATATCAGTGAATAAACAAATGTGCAATGGTCCATCTTAAAAGAGGACATGCGGGGACTACGGAGAGAATGTGCAGCTCGTAGATGGAAGCATCCTACACAATCTCAATGCCGGAGAGACGTATACTTACTTCGGGGTGGAACAACGCCACTCACAAGAGGTTACAACAGTGAAGAACTCTCTCCGCGGCAAGTATCAGCATAACCTTCGACAGATCTGGTAATTGGAACTGTAGGGAGACAACAAAGTTGCTGCACAGAGAACAAAGTTGCTACAACAAATATGCTCGCCGTTCCAATCTTACTCTACTAGTTTGGAGTGGTGAAATGGACTCGGTAGGAGCTGTATCAACTCGACATAAATACCTGAGAAATGGTGCATCTCCATAGGAGTTTGCATTCCAAATCGTCCGTTCCACGGTTGTACTTCCCCTGACAACAGGGGGGAGTACACAATTTGGAGTGGCTACATGACAGAATGCTACTGGATGGAGCATGTAAATTCGTCAGAAGTTCGTATGCCCTTCTTTGCATAGTTCGCGACCATGAGAGTGCAGGAATTGAAGCATTTCTCTTTAGGGCAGTTGTCCGAGCAGCTGATGAACTCGGTTTAGTTTTCGACACTGAACAAGGTGATCACAACTCTGTCACCAAGTTGAAACCCATTAGGCTAAAGTCTCATATAAACACTACAGAGATCATCCCACTTCTGCGGCAACACATGGATAAGCCAATGCATGGGATCTTCTTCAATAACATTGAAGACCTTGACTCATCAAAGCGCCTGACTTTCGCTTTCCTCGGGTAGCGAGGAAAGTGCAGACCTGTGTTGGATTTAGAGATTCCTGACACAAGGTGCCGGTCCTAATGCACTTGCTTTCAGCATGTCCGGCATATGCGATCTCGGCCAATATCAATCGACATAACGCGACCCTAAAAGTGCTTCATTACCATCTACGGCACTCTCACGGTATTGATGAGACACCGTTGTTACCCTACGCTCCGGGGGATGTTGAATCCGTTGTGGGGAACGTGAAGTGCCGAATTTATTGGAACTATTCGTTCCCCATCCTCAGGCTCATACAAGTCATAATGATCCTGATGTAGTCCTCAAGCACAAGACGATATTTGTCGAAATTATCATTGGAGTATGTGGTGGAATAAGGCCCTCTGTACTCAGGAATCTCAATATCATTCCGGCTTGCAGCGCTAAGGCAGAAATCTCAGTCGGACAAATACAGAAGGCTATGATTTTTGGCGCAATGCGCTTACTCAGGGCACATGATTCTCGGACCCAATGATTATTTACCCCACGAAGTGGGGAGATGTCGTTGGTTGATAATGCTGGCGCGCCCTTCAAATGTATCGGGGCTTTGAGTAATAGGGTCTGACCAGCGGAAATTTAGGTAAAAATAATACTAATAATAAAAATAATGACCTTCACCAACCATACGTGTATAAAATAAATTAATAGCTCCAGTATGGTTGAAATGAGCCCATTCAGTCAAGACTGGTCTTCTTCGGGAACCTTTGATACACAACAACAAAAATAACTGAGGCTAAAGATTACAGATTTGAAACTAACTTCCAAAAAATGAGTATGTGACTATCCCTAGAAAATTGGGATGAAATAAAACAAATAAAATAAAATCAATTGTAATTGCATGAACTTACATATTGATGCATTACTCATCGATAAAGTTAAAACTTAACTTTTAGTATGTTATTTATTACGAAAAAACTACTGTGTTAGGGAACCATGTGATAGTCGCGAAGTGATGTGCACTAATGATGCCTAAAACGTTCATTTGCGCTGCTTCATCCAAATCACGTCGATTATTTGTTTGTTAGCAACACAAACAGTTTCACTGATCTAAGCAAATTATTTCGACTAATTTATAATTTCAATCACTGTTGGGACATTTTTCATTGAACGTTGCCATTTTTTTTGCGTATCTGAGATATTTTCCATAAATAAGAATGATTTCAGTTCTTCGTTGAAGTATATATAATGAAATTGGCCGATACTTGACAAAAATCTATAACTAACGTATTCAAAAAACACTTTATTGTGGGATTTTTACTAAACTTTGTTGAAGTATGAAAACCATTATTGAAAATGATTCAATGGACGCATATTCAATGGATACATATTTTCGGGAATGATGAATAGAGAATGATTCATCAACAACTCAAAAATGCTTTACCTGTGCCCTTTTTTCAGTGGATTGTATTGAACTTGTGAAAGGAGTCAAAATAGGTAGAATGACCAAATTAGTTATTGACGTTCATTTTTTTTATCTTTTGATGACTCTTTAACTAACTTGTCATTCGTGACTACCATATCGCAGGATGTTATTGATGTCCCAACCGTCAATAACGTCCTTCGTTATTCACTCCTGATCCCAATTGAAAAGGACGGCATTCTCTAGGAAAAAAAAATTCTAGAGTTANTTTCAGTTTTCAATTAGTGCACGAGTCTCATATCGATCAGATTGTTTCGTGAAGAGTTTTATTCCTTTCTTGAATCTGAATTTGGAAGTCTCGTTTTTTAATTCTTTAGGAAGTATGTGACCGTGAATAGTAAAAATTATCATGTATGTGGTATGTATCAATAAAATACATTTTTTCCTTTTTTTCTATCGATCTAATATTTTTCAGACAAAAAATACACTGTTGAGCATGAAAATGACCTGATAATACCGGTCGTGTTAGTATGGCCAGATTACGTGCTTCACGAATACAATAAAAACTTCAGCTGATGATCTGACATTTGATTCATCGTTTTTAAGCCGATAAGAAGTTCACCAGGTCAGCTAGTAAAATAAAAAAATACTTACTCGTGATGCATTGTTTGGAACTTTCCATGTAGTAATGAATATTACTGGAGTTCTACTCCCAATACCAAACTGTTATTTTCAACACTTCGACACGTGTTTCAATCACCAAGTGATCATCTTGAAGAGGTAGATTGAACTGAATCTACATACACTGTTGTCCTCAGTACACATCACTGTGGGCAGCACAAACGTGCTGGATTGAATTTTCTAGTGCATCGTCTTTTGACGGTTTCTCTCACATATGAAAGGTTTACAAAAAAAGTGACAATACAGGAAGTAGCACTAAAAATGATTTTTCGAGGGGTATTGTAGATGATATTATATAAAGAAGAGAAAGTTTGGGTTGAGAACAAAATTTCTACTTTTAGAAATTACTAAAACCAAGATGAATATATATCTTAGTTCCATACCATCAATACACGAAGCACTTTGGGGAGATTTTCAGGCAACTATAGGTATGAAGGTAGTATTTGAAACAAGTCATACACTTAGGACCTTTTAGGAAGTCCAAAAGACAAAGTCGAAAATTCGGAAAAGTCTGGAATTTACGAAATTAAATGTTAGGACTGCGGTGCAAAATATTATGGACAGACAAAAAGATCTATTAAAATAAGATATAAGGGACACTTAGCACACCTTAAATATGGAAGACCAGAAAAATCAGTAGTCGCCCATCATATTCCACAACAGAAATACTCCATAGACTTTGGTTCGCTAAGTTCAGTTTGACGAATTAGCAACAGGCATCTAGATGCCTATGAGAGCTCAGACGTAAGTCAACATAATAATTAGTCTATAGATAATAATATTATGAACAACGATGGTGGACCATTACCTGATAGTTTACTTATAGCTTGTTGAAATAATATTTCAAGTTATCAGATTTTTGCGACTAGTAGATATAGCAGGGGAGCCCACGATGCAAAATGGGGATTTACTGGAGCGTCATAGAGACCTATTAGGTTGCAAAGCTTAGATAATAAGAAGAAAAAAATGTTATATAATATATACCTTTTCATCGGTGGGGGAAGCGGCTATAGATACTACACCAAAGGATCCAAACAGT